GATATTATTAAAATTCATCCCTTATTATCTACATCCAGCTTTAAAGACTAAGCAAGAGGAACAATGACTCTACCTCACTCACTGTTATGGACACGATGAATGGGAAATTCATTATTAACTATGCAAATAAATCAAGCAAGACTAGTTTTGTAGATGGCAAATTATTATATGAGATAAAACATTCATCAAATCATAAAAAATTAATGCAAATTTATTTTTACCCGGAGTTTTTCTCAAATCTTATACTAGTCACAAAATGTATGTTTCTAACTTTTGATAGATTTATGTTTTGTTCTTATAGCTTTATGCTTTTAACTTTTGACTAAAGTTTTTTTTAAAAGAAATTTTGGTAGCAAACGTATAAAAAATTCAAAGATATTATATTTCATAATCAAGCTGTTATAGTTCAGAAAAAATTAAAAAAAATTTTTTTACTCAATAATAATTTTCTTATTTTTTAAAATTTCCTTTGTAAGAAGATATAATGTCAGGGTTTGCAGTTTTACAAAATTATCAATTTGTTTATCACAACTCTTTATATTGGAGTGAGAACAAAAGAGCTTTTCATTGAGCTAAGTGAATATTCTGTTAGTTACCATTATATATTTAAAAGGTCAAAGTTAAATAAGGTTTTAAACCTAATCATGCTAGATTTTTAATTCATTACAGAAGGTTAGATTTGAACATTATATTCATTCTCTTAAATACATGCTCATAATAAAGATATTATATTACCACTCGTTAATTTTTATTAAAAACAAACTGTCTTATAAATGCAACGCTTGACCCAAACTTACTGATTATAATTTCACGTATATGTGAGTCTTTAATCACCGCATTTTAGTTATTTATTAAAAGCATAATTAAACATGTTATTTTTACCGAGTTAAGATGCTATGAAAAGAAATTATATACCGAACTAAATTTTCTGTTATGCGACTGAATGAAAAGTTTCTTTAAACCTTTCTAAGACCGCGGTAAGTATACTTACCATCCATTTTCAGCCACTTTTAATTTGTTTGCCATTTGTTATTAACTTCGTTTAAATTAAATTGGTGAAAATTTATATTTTTTATGGAATGTATAAAAAATTATTCTCAATAAATTCCTTTTGCAATTTGCAGGATGTATAAAAATTTTTTTTGAAATGATAAGAAATAAAAGTCATTAAGTTTCTTATTTTTTTACAATACCTAATGGGTGGTGGTAAACATGAAAAAGGTTCTAAAATTCAAATAAATGTTATCAAATAAGCTAAAGGATTTTTTTTCAATCTAAATAAAAAAAAAACATTTTAATACACCCGTACTAGAAATAAATGAATCGTTTAAAGGTTAACCAATGCAAAGTAAATGTTATATCAGACAAATAAAACTTGTATAATCAGAATTATCGTGATCCGATTTTCCCTCTCATTTGACCTCGTGTGAAATGAAAAGTTGTCACGCAGAATGTAGGTCATTCAGTTGAACTCGAAAAAGAGAAAGCCATACATGGGCTTTAATGAAAATGTCAAGATTATTATGAAGTAAGGATAAAAAGAACTGAGAATACTAGATTTTTCATTCTTGCCTTTTGTTTAACTATAAGATAATTCTATCTCTTTTTAGCTTAATAAGTCTTCTACTTTGAAATCATATTATGTTGTGGATTTTATGGATAATGCTCTTTCTTAATAAATAAATATAATTTCATAGAATTAGATTGAAATTAAATGAAAGGTGACTGTAATTAAAAGAATTAACATTAAAGTTTCAATTCTTACTCATATTAACTGTTCTAAAAATATAACTTATAAAATCTTTTTTAAAAAATACAATATTTGACAGGAAAGTGGGCAAATTTTGCCCTTTTCTTAATGTTTGAAAACAGCAAATAAATAAAAATAAATAATCTATTTTGCTTGAATTTGTGACTCCATCAATGTCAAGTTTTTACTTTCTGTGAAACAATTTCTACTGAAGCAATTATTTTCAAGTCTTGTTCAATGAAAATGACCCGTTAAGATCATTTTTTTAAGTGATACGTAGTTAGATATTATTTAGTTCATTGTTGCAGTACAGACGTTAGCCGTGGCATTCATTTAGATTAAAGATGAGAATTTTTTTTAAATTTACTTATACTTTTATTATTTTTATTATGCAGAAAAGCTATTATATCTTTCTATTTACTGTTCGCTAGAAATAACCGTTTTTTGAACTGTCTTTTCGAATATCGCTTGCAAAAAACCTTTAGCGCATCTTATTGCCTAAAATATGCTTTTAAAAATCACGGTGAGTGAAACCGACAGTAGATTAATATGTAAACTATTATTTTGAATATTTATGCATACCAGTTGCCCAATTAGTTTTTATTAGGGATTTGGTAAAGCTCTTTTCATTCCATTCTAGTTAACCAGAAAGTACCAATTTAAAGTTAAATCAAGATGGGTGCTCCTGAGACGCTTAGATTAATTTTTAATATTGATGATACAGAGCTCGTAGTGGCCTTTAAAAATTTTAAAAGCGTTAGCAAAAGTTCGAAAATAAAATGTATTTTTATAAATTCGTGTCCACCACTACGGTTAAATTTTACAAATAAACGTATATAGAAACAAAGTCGCAGTTTTTGTATTTTTAAAATTAAATTGGAATTTAATAAAAATAAGATATTTAACTTTTTTTAAAGTATTATCACCACTGTTTAATTTTTTCAAGGACAGTTCGTGCCCTGGATACACTACCTTTCTCAAATTTTTGCCCATATGAATAAAATATATAACTGATGTCATAAAACTGTTTTTCAATTAGACTTAAATAGAGTGCAAAAAAAAAGTTTAAAAATTGAACATTTTGAAGTGATTTTTTTATATTATTAAAACGTTAATTAAGTTAATTTCTTTATTGTAATTCCGATGTGTCGTGATTTACACTGAAGAGCCAAAGAAACTGGTATACCTGCCTAATATCTTGTAAGGCCCCCGCGAGTACGCAGAAGTGTCGCAACACGACGTGGCATGGATTCGATCAATGTGTGAAGTAGTGCTGAAGATAATTGACACCGTGAATCCTGCAGGGCTGTCCATGAACCAGTGGGAGTAAGAGGGGGTGGGGATATGTTCTGAACATCACGTTGCAAGGCATCCCAAATATGTTCAATAATGTTCTTTTCGTCGTGTTTTGGTGGCCAGCGGAAGTGTCTAAATNAAAAACCTGCTATACCTGCCTAATAGCGTGTAGGGTACCCGCGAGTACGCAGAAGCGCGGCAACACGACGTGGCATGGATTCGATCAATGTGTGAAGTGGTGCTGAAGATAATTGACACCGTGAATCCTGCACGGCTGTCCATAAACCAGTGGGAGTAAGAGGGGGTGGGGATATGTTCTGAACATCACGTTGCAAGGCATCCCAAATATGTTCAATAATGTTCTTTTCCGGGGATTTTGGTGGCCAGCGGAAGTGTCTAAATTCAGAAGAGTGCTCTTGGATCCGCTCTCAGATATGAACATTATTGAGCATATTTGGGATGCCTTGCTACGTGATGTTCAGAACAATGCGGGGGCCTTACAAGATATTAGGCAGGTATATCAGTTTCTTTGGCTCTTCAGTGTATCCTCGTCAGTTTTAAAAGTAAATCAAACTAATATTATGGAAATGTCCTACATTTACTTTCAAACAATAAATTGGAGGGAAATATCGTGTTTCTATTATTTATAGAATCACTATTATTATATAATCACTTCTTTAGCTGAGCTATTATTTATATAATCACTTCTTTAAAACTGAGCTTGCACTATTATATGGATTGCATATTAACCCAATGTGTAAAAAAAGTCAATATATTTATTCTAAAACTTGTTTAAAGTAATAAAAAATTTACATCACATTTTTTAGTTTTTATAAAATAACAGCTATTTCAATGTTGTACGCATCTGTATACGAACGGAAATATTTTACTTTTTATTCACGTTTCTTCTGTTTTAATTTTATCTACAGAATAGCTCTTGTGCAAGGCTACTAAACACATATTCTTTCTAAGAAATCGGATAAAATGTCTCCCGTTAGCAGAATGCTTAGCTAACCGCCGTACTAACATTTTGTAGCAATAATAAAAGCGCCTTAGTGGAAAAAGTTGTAACAGCTTAGTGATTGAATTTAGTAAATATTTTTATTCATTTAGTTATTAATTTTGCTTAGCAATGTAACAAAGGCAAGATTTCAGAACCAAATATAGATTTTAGCATTGTCAAAATATTTGACTGTATATATAAATGCCTTGCCTAACCAAAATGACTTTTAACATTGAAATAATTGAGTTGCCAGTCTTTCTCACTTTGAAATGGAAGCCTGTTCCAAAAATAGAACATTGTTGTTTAAACGGTTAAACTAAATTGGTAGGTTTGGGAGTATAGATTATAGAATGAATACTGATTTTCAGCGAGAATCATCTTTCATTTCCTTTGTAAATATTCATAACTTTCCCATCACTTTTTAGAAGATAAATACAGTTCTGAGCTTATGATTGAATTTTAAGATTATTAAGTCCAATGGACTTCACTCTCCAAAAAGATAAAAATTGGTAACTCAATTATTTAATTTATTAAATTTTAGCTCGGAGATATAGTACAACATCCGCTCTCCTATCCCTCTACGTTCATAAAATATTTAGTTCGATATTTTCAAAAAGTTATACCACCATTATTCCATGATCAATATTTATCTTGGAACTCAGTTTACTTTTGAAAATAAGTAAATCATTCATACATCAAAAAGCTCATTTTTTTTTTAATAGAATACGAAGAAACGCACGAGTCTTCATTCAACACATCATTCTTCATTTACCTGAAATTTATATTTAATTTCAATTCAACACGAATTCTCTCGATCTGCCTCATAAATTTCAATGTTCAAATAAATAGCTTCTTCCTGAGTTGGAGTCACCACAGTCAAGTGTGGGAGTATGTGTATAGAAAAGATGGGGAAAAAGAGGGAGAATAGCCAGGTTTTTATGTCTAAAATTAGCTGCCGTCTCTTGCAAGGGAATGAAAATAATTTGGTTGACTCATTCACGTTTGCCTCTGCATGAGATTGCCACACTCTTTCTCAAACCTAAAAATTAACTTGTGTGTCCGGCAATCACTCTATAGGTAAGATGCATATTTTGATGATTTGCAATTATGATCTAAAGTTTATAACACTTAGTATCACGATGCCAAATTGATGTATGTTGCGAGGATTTTTAAAAAAAATTCTTTTATCTATTGCCGTTGTGTTAGTTTCCCCCCCTCTCTTTCCAGTTGTTTGTAAATATGTGTTTAACACATCTACTGAATTTCGTTTTTATTGTAGGAGTGAAATAGGATCATTAAAATATGTTTAGTTGTTTATTATTCACATTTCTATCAGTTTTGCTTACAATTGTCTGTTAAAGTATAATATACTTGTTATGTGTTTACCTCTCCATCTTTGTTGTATAGTTTATGAACTGATTAAAATTAACAATGAAGTATTTCCCTTTTTCGAAAGTTGAAATGTATTAGTGTGTCCATTCAATTCAATTCTGTCTTTTCTGTGTCAGATTTTGTACCAACTGACATACGTAAATGTATATTGCATTTTAACATTTTTAATTCCGACTTTAATTTCGACCTTGTCATATATAGAAGAGAAAAAAAACTATATGATTTTCAGTGCTATAAATTTAACTTATCTATGTATAGAAAGTATGTTCGCGTAAGTCCTATTTTAAAGTTTAAAAATAAAAGCATTGATTCTAAAGAAAGGGTAACGTTAGTCTTTACGCGCGCTATGTTAATAAATACCTCTCTGTTATATCCATCATTCTCACAACCTATAAATGTTACTTAAAGACTATGAATTATAGTTACTTTTAACCCTTTGACTCAGATGGGATACCTTTTATACATTTTTCTGCCTCTCTAATGACAAGTAAAAACATACTTTTTTTATTATACTTTAAAACATACTTTTTTTAAACGTATTTTTTATTATAAAAAACAATCTAATAAATATTTTTAAAAAATCTGTTAGATTATCGGAATTATATTTATACTAAAATATAGAATCCAAAAAAAAAGTAGTTAGAGAAAAAAAAACGTCATTCACTTTTAAAAAATTTATCAATAGCTGATTTTTTATGTTAAAGAAATTTCAATACTAAATAACAGTTTCCTTAGATCCCTAATCACAGCAAAAAAGTGGACATTTTAAAAGTTATTGCTTGGATGTGTTTGGAAGAGTTTGCTTTTAACACAGGAAAAGACATCGGTGTTTCATGCTTTATTTAATAACCATAAATTAAAGTCTAAATGTAATATTTTTCACTTATTTTGGCCTAAACTTTGGACTAACAAAATAAGTAAAAGAATATGAACAATATGTTTAATAAAAATTCTGCTTCAAAGGATTAAAAATTTCTATTTTACTTTATAACTTATTTTAGTTTTTAGTGGGTGACGATCAATTTGCTCCACACTCTGTCCTAAAAATATAGGCATAAACTAAAATCTTTGCAAGGATGCCTTATTTTCTATCAAACACTTAATTTTATTGTCAATTTTATGAGAAGTTTGAAAAAATCAAGAATATTAATAAAAAAACCCGCAGAAGTATTTCATTTTATGAAATTTTAAAATAATAGATATGACCTGTCCCATCAATCCCAGACAATGGAGAATATTTATCAAAAAACATTTTGAGACATTTCTTTCACTTAAAATGAGTGATTAGCAAGCGTTTTCTTGCAATTTTTTTGAGCAGTGGTTTACTTTTTAATCCTCATTTTCAGCTTTAAATCGTATTGCAAAATCTATTCATTTCAGAGTTGAACAAATATTACTAGAGGTACAAATTTTTATATAAAGTAATTAAAATCTTGAACCCAAAAAGAAGGAAAATATCCTATCGATATTTCTAAACCGATCTTTAAGGACTATTAATAGAATTTTACGGAAACGATTAAATGGCCATTTTAGGCTACAGCCAGTAGCTAGAATAAAAAAAAAAAAATTCAAAATCATTCTAGTGAAATATTTGTTTTCACGTTCTTTTTCAGTATAAACAAGGAAACGTTAACAAGGTATTTAAAGACAGTCACACATTTTTTAACAGCCCATTAAGTCATTGCAGATAAATATTAATTTTTGTACATTTCAAAGCATCATATTCCATTAACGTAATTTCATTCTTATCACATGCTATTTTATTGTATTATTAAAAACTACGTAAAGAGTAACAATCTTAAAAAAATAATCAGAAATTTAAATCCAAGACTGGCAATTAATATTGCATTTGTCATTATTATTCTGACGCTTTTCTTATTGTATTCTATCAGTCATTTCGTTGTAGCAATGTAATGATGATATGTTTTCACAGCATTTGGCTGTTTGTCAGGTTCACGAAACTTTAAAAAAACAAACCAATGTTTTGTAGTCGATTGTGCTGCTCAAGAAACTTTTCATTAGTATAAACCCGTTTTAAAGTGCTGACAAAAAAAAAAGAAGAAAAAAAAAAAGAGAGAAAATAATAGAACTGAGGATTTTTAAACTGTTAAGAATTGAACTGTTAAGATTGAAATAAGTTTCATTCGATTTGAATTAATAACTAAAATAATTAGTTTATTTATATTTATTTATTTTTCTCGATTGACTTGATGGTAAAAATAAAAACCTATCTTCGCATTAGGTTAAGAGCTAAGGTAATTATAGGAAATATGAATGAAAACTACATTTCTTTATAAATTTAGCCATGCAAAATTTTTTTATTTAAATAATATATAATTATAACAAATTTTACATGTTAGTTTATTTTATTGATTTAATTATTTTTTATAGATAACCTTCCAGTTCATAGTGCGACGTTTAATAACTAAACTAACCGTTAATAAACAACCAACCTAGAAAATAGATATAAGGCTTAAAAGAAATAGGTTTAGTTATATTAAAAAAAATGTATGAGTTCTGTAAAATAATATAAGTTCAGTTAAAATAAATTAATTGAGATTCAAAGTCAGGCCAAATAAAAGAATTTATAACTTTTATTTACCAACCAGAGCTTGTTTCAAGCTACGATGCCTCAAGGAAACCAATTTAAATTGTTTAACAAAATGTCATGTATTATGTGCTAAATAAATAATAAATCATAATTAGGAAATATTTAATTTTTTCTTCAAAAAACATTCAAATAAATACAGAGTTACCCGTAATCGTATCAAAAAAGAATTAGAATAAAATCAACAATCAATTCGTATAAGATGGAATCAATTAAAATTAGAATAAAATAGACTGCGTTTGGCAAAACGTTATCCAAGGTCAATCACGGTAAAGATAAAATTAAAATTTTCGAAACCTTTTATTTGTGGATAAAAATTGAAAACTCGTCCCATTTAATTAGTTTAGAAACATAATCTTAACAATTATCCAACAAACATTAATCTTAAACGGTTTATCTACAACGCCACTGAAATAATTATATCGAAGCAAAAAATCAATCTGATTTCACGTAACTGGAATTTTTATTGTCCTAGAATTGTTACATTTTTAAAAACTTGAACAAAAATTGTTACTCGAGTAAAAAAAATTAAGTGATGTCCTTCATTTGTCCCACCAGGCAATACATTTTTTTGAGGGTTGAAAAGTAAATACAAGCTGCCAGTTATACAAACAATCTACGATATGACAAACTGACTTAATCGCCGGTATTTATCAGTCTTTCTCGAGGTGGGGGAAAAAAAAGAAAAAAACGACAGCTAAGCGTAGGTGTTGAGAATTTTTTTAACTGTTAACTTTCAACCGATTTTAGACTCAAGAATGGTACTTCGGATTGTTTGTGTGTTTAAAAGAAAATCTTTCAAATGGCGCCTCTTATGACGTCACTCTCAAAGACTTCATTGTCTAGGAGTGTGATATGCACTAGCATTAAGTATATGCTTACAGTTAACTTAATTGGGTGAAAAAACTATTCTGAAGAATACCGAGAAGGCAGGACACCCAATAAAGTTAAAAGATTCTTTAAATTCCCAAAGACATATGGGAACTCTTGTCAGGCGAGCAAAACTCCACTTTGCGGAGCATTCATCGGGCTTAATAAAAATATGCATCTTTAATGGAATTTTATTATTTTTCCTGAAAGAATTTTCTAATTTTCCCCAGGTGGGATGCTGTCATTGAGATACCAACCCTATCACAAAAACTGAACAGAGCATTTTAAGCACATTTTTTTTAAATATTTAAATTTAAGAGATAAAAGTGCCTCGGAATATTCGTAATTATATATTGATTGCCATCGCTTAACAGTTTATTCAAGTACCTAGTAGAGTTTGAAGCAATAATACACCGATTGTTTCTCGTTATATTGATTTCAACTCAGAAGCTTTTGAGTAAAATTTCTATTTCAAACTCACGGACAGCTTTTTGAATGAAATTGACCCACATGTGCGTTACAACGAAGAGGAAAACTACGTAAACTTCCCTCGCTTAGCCCGACAGCAAAATAGGTTTTATTCATTTATCCTGATTTTGTTCCTTCAACTGCGCACCTAGGGTCCCTTGCGACCCTATTCCAATTCAACATGGACATTAATCCTTTAATTCGTCAACCACTGAAGATTATTTATCTTAACCCGTAGTTTCTATGGACTAGTTGAAGCATTTATAATTAAAATATCAAAAATAAATAAGGAAAATACCAAAATTCTTGTCCAAAAGGAATATGAGGAATATTTTTTAGTTTCATTCCACAATAAACTGGTTTTGATGATTTTAATTTCATCTTAACACTGATTGTCTTGGATAATTTTTTTTTCGCTCACTGACATATTGTTTTGTAATTCCTAACATGTAGATTCTGAGGATTTTACTCTTTACTACCATTCTGAACTTATATATTTAAGGTCGAGCTGACGGAATATCATAAAAAAGGACTTTAGTAGGTGGTCAATGCTGGAGACATTCCAATTTGCACAATCTTTTGACATTTAAACGGTTGATGTATTTCATTGATTTAAATTAAAGTCGAGTGATTATAGTCGAGTAATTAACCATTTTTCAAATTAACAAAATGATTTGTTACCATTTATTCGAGTACAACAGAAACAATATACAACACAAACAATACAATATATACGCAC